CACATAACTACAGGAAAATTTCATATTGAAATTCTAACACATACAAAAGGACCAGAAATTAGAACTACCTGACCTAGTCAGTGTGAGTAAACATAACTGAACAAAGGTTTTATCTTCTAAAATCAGACAGACAATACAACCTTCATGGCAGTGCAGTCTCTTAGCTCAAGCCTTAGCAGAAACCCGCTGGATCAACCCAAGTTATAGACTCTACAACATTATTCCATCACTGTGTCAAAAAAGACCTTTTCTGGCCTGCCTTTAAATAGCCTGATTAGATGAAGTAATACTTCTGCCTTTTTCTTCTAATACAATACCTACACATTTTGAAAGTACTACTGATAATCTTTATCTCAAAGCCAAGCTCTGACTGTAGCATATCTTTATGTTTACGTATGTACATAAAATAGTATGTAAAAGGAACAAATCATGGAGCTGAATCCTTACACACGCTCACTTTATGCTAATCTGCAGGCACTTAATCAGGAAGGCTAATACATTACAAACACAATTAATGGCCAGAAGAACCAGAGGAGGTTTTGACCCTTTTTAACAAGGGCTTGAAACATAAAAATGTTCTGATTATATATGAACCTTATCCAAAATTGCAAATTATATGCCCACAATGCATAAAATACAGTCACTTTCAAGTCACATCTAGGTAAAAATTAAAACTGGATTGAGCCACTGAAGCATCTCTTCAATTGATCCAGCATCTCATTGTATCTTTAAATATGGATAAATGCAATTTAATCAGCCATTCCCATTGATTAACTCCAAGTTAACCTAAGTATTTATCAAGGAAACATGCAACTATAAAAGAAAAGAAAGTCATGCAGAACACAGCATCCCCATAATAATCAGCAAGTTAACAAGATGGAGTGAAACATTAGTCCCACCAGAATTAATGCAAAACTCCCATCAACTTAAATAGGACCACAATCCTCCATCTAAAACTCACAGGAAGTCTGTCCCAGAGCAAAAAGAGAAATAAGCAGAAGTAATAGCTCCAGAAAAGAAAGTTCAGATGTTTTAATTATACCTTAGCAATTACTATCTGGATGAACTGGACTGAGCTAAAGCAGCAAAATGTGTTTTGCTCCCTAAAAAGTTCAAAAAACCAAACCAACAGGAGCCCACAATTCAGAGTTTCTACCTTGCTGCGTCTCATCTTTATCAGAGTGGAGCTTGGGCAGAGGGATCCAGCCAGGAACTTCTGAGTTGGCGCAAAGAAACTGAAATTGCAGCTCCTTTCAGCAAGCTGAGGACAAAGGTCGAGCAAGCGTGAAGGGGCCAAAGAATGCTTCCTCCTTCTGAAAGGCTTCGATCATCTCAATCGCACAGCATGGCCTCACCCCAGGGGAGATCCCCAGTGGAAGACTTCATGCCCACTGCTAACCCCACTTTCTGAAGCCAAGCCATTCACAGCCAAAAGCAGCTGGACCAACACTTGGCTATTGCTATAGCAAAGCTATGGCCACTGAATTTTTCAGAGAAGTACATTAAACTAAGTATGCATCCCTGAGGTCCTCTCTGGAGACTAAGGAGGGAAGTTTCAATTTTTTGAAAGCCTGGCGAGGGCTCTCTGATTATAACTAGAGAGAAGAGCTTAAGAGTTGCCTTCATAAATGAACACATTCACTAACAAATCCCCTTTCTTCAATAACAAAATCAGATGTTTGTTATCCCTATTTTTCCCTTATTATAGTCTCTCAATTTTTCAGTGGCAGCTATCATGATAAGGAAGGAGAGGCTTGGATGAAAAAAGAAACTCAAATTTTGTACCATCTGTTAAATGACTTACAGTCTGAGAGAACAGATGCTGGACTTCACTATCAGTTTTTGATTGATCTAGAAGTATTTTGTTAATTGGGGCTAAAACTACAGCTAAGACAAAGTAAGTGTCAGAGAAAACATGAAAGAATAGTTCAAATTCTTCTCAAACTACCTGGTCATTCAGAAAACATTTTGTCATTTCAGTAATTATCATACAGCATGAAAAAAAAAAAAAATCTTTCTTTGAATGAATGGAACACCTAATAAACAGAATATATGCTCTGCTTAGATTCTATAAATACTGTGATCAGCTCAAATTGTTCATCACGTTCATCCAGTTCACCTGAGCTGGATAGCAATGTTCTTTTCTTATATTACTGCATGCTTGCTGTTTCATTTTATGCATTGCTTACTGTATGCCGGTCCTGCACTCTCCTAGAGACAAATCAGTGCTGTCTTCAGAGATTCACATGATAATCACCTTTCAAAAAGCTCATCAACTACCAGCGTATCAGTACATACTGTGTAAGACAGCATACGGTCTAACTACGAGTATTTCTACATAGAACTGAACTGCCAGTTCTAAATGTGCCAAACACCAAAATGCCAGAAGTGCCAAAACAATTAAGCTAATTATGGAAGTCAGTTTCAATTACAAAATGATCGCTAAGATAATTGTGGCATAAATACAGAGACTTAATTTTTACTACATGCACTGAAAATTGTTTCATTTACCAACGTTCTGGTTTTTCCAATTTGCATGTAACTGCAAGGAAGCAGTTTAATGTGAAAAAAAAAAAAAAACCTGTTTGTGGCAAAGGAAATGCAGCATTAATTTTAAGTTTGCAGCAGCAATATACAGAACAAATGAATTTTCTCTAAATACTGCCTTAGCATTTGCGTGAAACAGAATAGCTATATTCAAAATGCAGTGTTCAGTTGTTTGTGCCATGTTTTTTCATTTGTCAGATATTGATTCTTCCCCATGTTTTAAAACAATCTGTACCTAATTTAACCTATATTATTTAAGCTTTCTATGCTTCCCAAAACATTATGCCAAAGCATATTTCAGTATGATTGACGATGAGAGTTTTAGAAATGGTACTGTTGCAAAAATAAGAGCTGGTGTAATGTATTTCGCTGTAACAGATTTTCACTGTAACAATAAAAACTTTCAACCTTCTGGGCCTCCCCCCCCAACACCTTGCATGACATTTAAAACAAATCTGAGCGTCTACTCCACTACTGTTTTCTGTCCAGCTTTGACTGTTACCTCTATAGCTGATGGAGGGATGCTCTGTATTTTAGGCATAGAGAATTCCTTTAAGCCTAGAGGACTCTTGTGTACTGATGCAAGTCAGCGACACATGGTGAGGTTTTAGATTCAAATATAACTGCAGTCCTCATATAATGGCATAAAATGCACTTCTCACTGCTAATATTGTATTTAAAAAAAAAACACAAACAAACAAAAAAACCCAAACAAGAAAAACCTATCTTTCTTTCCTTGATGGTCAAAGATATAGCATTTGAAACATGTTCTGGAATGCAACAAATATCACCATTTTTTCCCCCTCCCCCCAGTTTTCATGGTTGTAGAATACCAGAGGTTAGCATTATGTACTGATGTACTCACTTTACACATTTCTCAACTTTGCAGAGAGAGTAAGATCTGCACTGTTAACCAAGAATTCTTCTTTGTACTTTCATTTATCAGACTAAGTCAGTGTTTCATTAATATGTAAGTGCTTGCAGCAAACACGAAGAAAAACCACTCAGCTCAAACAGGTCTAACAAATGATGCAGGACTTTGTCAAAGTTCAGCACCCTGTAACACCATAATGTACTTGGAGAGTCACTAGCACTTTTAGAATTGCACCACTTAGCAGATAACACAAGCCATTGTAAAGTAAAAAGCACACTAAATATTTAGAGGCACACACATTTGGCCATGCAGAGAAACAATGAGTTGGCCTTCAGAATTACAGAATTAAGATTGAGAGCCATAAAACATCATTTATATGCAAGTCATCTGACTTTCTATTTACTTACCTCATTCACATGACCTTAACTGGAAGTATGGTCTTAATTACAACATCTTCAGCTGAAAAGGTTCCCACACCTCCAGCATGTGTTGCTGAACCCCAGTTCTTCCTCCTGCTTCTTAATGTGCCATTATGGCCATTTGTGGAATCTCCCTATAAACTAGTTGTGATCTAAGCTGAAATGACCCTCTCGCACCAAACAAAGAGGCTGGGGGTTTCTGAATGTTTTTGTTTTGAAACAAAACAGTGTTAGATTGGTTTACACAGCTAGGGACAGGGAGTGAACTGCAGCACTGTATAGGAAAGCTAAAGGAGAAAAGGCATGAATTTCACAAGCAAATGAAAATACGTGCAACTGCACCACCATTTAAGCCTGAGTTCATGTGGCATAAAGTAGTGCAGAAGTCTATGAAAAAGCTCTGCTCCGCTTGATACAGTTACGTATCCCAGCTGACATCCAGAGATACTAAAGAATGTAATCTTTTTATATGTAATATAGAAACACCTTCCCCACACACAAATGCAAAGCTTCAGGCCTTAAAATTGCAAAGTAAATAATGTGGCCCAACTGTGACCAAGACAGCATCACTTTTCGAAGATTGAAGTCAACCTGCAATAACATCTGATTAAGTTACTGCAGCCTCACTAATTGGGTCTTTGCATTAATATTTAGTAATAACTATGCTGAAAACAAATTTGTCCTTAAAAAGGAAGAGTCAGGTTGTAAAACAGAAGAGTGAGAGAAAGAAGAAACCATGCAGGATAGTAGGAGGAAGCCAAAAGAAGACAGCAACATCAAGAGAAAATAAGGGAAGTGAAAAAGGGTGCAAGACCAATGAAGCATATTTAAGGGGAACTACGTTTTTTCCATCAAGCAATGGTAAACTGGACAATATGATACTGAACAAATAAACAATTGCTAAAAGTTCAGTTTATAGTCCAGTGCCTTATGTCATCATTGAGCTTTATGTAAATATCTTATTTTAATAAAGAGAACCACTGTTAATTGACTTACCCAAAATAACCATTTTGTCCACAGGAAATTCTCTCCTCTACAGAAAATGAGTATGATGCACTTTGGTTTAGATCCAAAGTCATACATAGCTTATAAAACTGCTACATACCAACAGGTAAGAACAGGTTTTGGCTTAAGAAAAAGGTGAGTTACATGACACCTACTGCCACAACATGCTTGAGACTGTGGTCACTGGGATGAGAAGCACTTGGGTGGAAGTCAGCAGGTGGGCCCAAAGCTGGATCACTGCTCCTTCGTACTAGAAGCGGTGTGCCTAAGAGACAAAATAAAGAGCAATAGTTCAAGTGTGCTACAGGAACACAAGGTAAAGCTTCATATGATTTAACTAAGAGAGGGATACAGGGCTTAAATATAAGTTTATCTGTGGCAATATCCACCTGGTAAATTACTAGATTTGATAGGGTTGTGCCATTTATTATTTACTAAGCCAAAGAAATGAGAACATTTTAAGCCCTGTTATACAGACTTTCATCCATGAGCTGCTAAATTAGGTGTAAACTGCTGACAAACAGGAGAAAAACGCACCTTCTCAGAAAAACAAATGAGTAATTGCATGTATCTGTGACCACAGGTACCATCAAGTTCTGACAGGGAAACCACAGGCTTGATTTAAGGAATAAGTGCAAACACAGGAAGAACTGGACTGCTACCGTTAAGTAACCACTGCCAGTTGTAGGAACTAACTCAACCAGAACATGGTCTAAGCCTTTCACTCCACACCAAGGACAGCTCTCATTGTGCTGTTCTACATTAACCCACCAAACCGAGATCTCACAATCTCATTTTCAGCTATTCCTTACTTTCTCCTGGTGTGTGCCCAAAATCCATACTGAGCAATTGCTTGCCTCTCCCATATCAATTATACAAGCCCACATTTAACCTGTATGGAAGGCTGCTTCGAATATGATGGCACGACTGTATATATATGGTCACAAATTTTATTTCCCTAAGCTCACAAGATGCAATTGCCCATTGCCACTGCTTCTGTGCCATCCCAACCTGAGGCATGCAAGTGACAGATGAAGCACAGGTTTTTGGGTGCAGAGAGAGCTGAGGGATAAACAGGTAAGTCACTCCATTAACTTCATTTAGTATCTAACACGCCTTGGGCTGGGTCTGCAGAGACAGCCTAAATAAGGATATAAAGAGGAGAGGGGGAAGAGGTTTTATTCACAGCAGCAGATCTGCCTCCCACTACCGACTGCCAGGATTCCCAGGGAACAGATGTAGGCAGTTGCAGTGGTTTCAAAGAAGCTGTAGACTAAACAGCTTCCTCTTGCAGGGATCTCCAATTAGACTCACCAACTACCCATGTCTATTCATGTACTGTCTGGGAATAACCTTAAAGACCAGTCTTTAAGGAATCTAGTGCATCCAGCAGCATCTAGTGACACAGCCATCCAGTTAGCAGAAGACACAGACGCTATAAAACACTCCCTTGCAAAACCTCCAGGTGGGGTGAGAGGGAAAACAAAAGTAATACGAAAAAGGAATTTCTCACATTATCCAAAATTAAATTAAACAAAAATGACTTTTTTTCCCCAAGTCCTTCTAAAACAATTTATCCATAGGCAAGCAAAAAACTTGAAGAGAACATTGGTCTAAGACAGTAATTTTTCAAATGCTGCAAGTGAGAGAAAATAAGATTATAATTGTCAGTTATAATATTAATTATAGCGGCTGGGACTGATGGCAGTCATAATTACTAGATCTATAATAGAAGTCTAAATGTGCAACAGTTTCCTCATTAGAGAGATGCTAACAAAGCTGGAGTGACTGTACCACATCCACTCTCAGCACACGTTTGTAATTATAGCTGGAATAAATACCAGCACCTGATGCTGAGGAACAACTAGAGAATCTAATACTCTCACCCTTCCTCACAGTGAGCAACAGTTTTTAAACACAGGTAATCCCTTCTATCTCCACTTATGCAGGACATCACTAAGAAAAGTAAAAGAAAGACTTAAATTTGTGTTCTGGTATTGAGGGAATGCTCAAAAATAAAAAGGTGAATACTGTTTTTTGTTCCAAGCGATTATCATCTTGATATCAAGAGCTATGCATGTTTTTACAAGGAGATTCTGAAGAAAGGGATTGATCACCAAATTTATCCATTTTGTGTGATTTTCCAAAGGTGTCAGGAGGTCAAAAGGAACCAAATCTCTCCACTCAAATATTCCTGTTCTTCACATGATGCTGAAGACAATTTTTCCCCCCTCTAAGCACATTTGATAAGAAGGTGTATAAAAGCTAAAACCAAAAAGTGTTGGATTCTTAATTTACTCCCTTCTTTAAGATAAATACTGATTCCTTAAAATATTTTTTTCCATGTAAGTTTCCAAGTGTTTCTGGTGACCTGTATCAAATTTTCAGTCTCTCTTCAATACAACAGTTTGAAAACAGATGCCAAGACACTTTCGTATGATTCAGCATAATTTAGTCTCCAACTCCTTTTGACATAAACATGAACAGTACAGAAAAAACCTCTTGCTAAAATACCAGAAAGCCCTTTACATTGGTACTTTCATTTGTAACCTTCACAACTCAATGAGCCATATTCCAAATGCAAATTAAAACATACTGCTGCTTACACTGTTCAAGGCCATCATTCCGGCCCCTTTTCTCATTTCTGTCTTCTTCTACAGTGAGAAGGTGGTAAAAAAAAAAATCCCCCACGGTCAACTAAAAAGACCAAAGACAGGGGAAAAAAAAAAAAATCCCTCCAAAACTGCACTTATACCAAGCTCACTCCTCCTCCCAAAGCCAACACTCTGAAATCAGATTTCTCCTTTTCCTGAGCTGTCTTCTACAACCAGCTTCTCATTTCTCTCATTCCTCCAGCTGAGAAAAAGATGAAGTCTCCCATCTCTGTGACTGCTGGAAGACAGGACCCTCATTTGTTCCAGGGCCTCCCAGCTTCCGCAGCAGCTGAAAGACGACATCTCCTGTACCACACCATTCACATCAGGCTTGTCTAGTAAGATGGGACCATACTTCAGCACTTCTCTCTGCTCCTTGTATTGCCTGCTGCAAGGAGCTGTTTTTACCACATCCCCCCGCCGCCCTCAGTTTTGAAGACCACCTTCCACTTGCCACTGTTTTCCAGGGAAGCTGAAGCAAAATGACATTATCCCATTCTCTTTTTATAGCTGTCTAAACTTTGAAACTGAAGTTTTCAGGAGCAGTGGGATTACAAAGAATACTGTTTTCCAATTTGGGACGATGGCCTTTGCACCTATTTGCCGCCTTCTTATTCCTGCAAGTATTTGCTTATTGCCATGAGGCTATGAAATTTATGGTCCTCATCTGGAATGCTTCCCTACTTGCAAAAAAACAACCAGACTTTTTGACCAGTCTACAATGCTTTCTCTTTACTCCCAATTTGTTGTAAATTTTAGGGTCCTACAGATCATTTTCTTGTTGAAGAGAAAACCAGAGTCTATTTTCTTAATTTTTTAAAATTTATTTACTGATATATAACATCATTTCTTGTACTGAGATATCACAAATCATAACATCTCTGTGGACCAAGTCAGCTGAAGTCTTTAGCTAAAATTATCCAAAAGTCCCTCTGGCCCTCATTGTTTTCCATGCATACACCACAAAGACACTGGAGCATGGAAACAACCTTCTATTAGACAAAAGTGAATTGACCCCAAATGCCCTCTCTAATAGAGGAAAGCAAATGGCATGCAGGAAGATTAGATGAAAGACTTGAGAAGCAGCGGTACTCTCCCTCTTTGCAGGAGGAATCCCTTATTCTCTTTCAGGAGACAGAAATTCTCAGCAGCTCCCTGAGTCACCCAACTCTCCTCCATGTCCCCTCATCTCCTGTGTGGCTCAGGCTGCTCCCTGACTTAAGAACACCTTCCCTGCCACTCAGTGCCTCCCAGCCCATGCTTCTCCCCCATATGAAGGGAGGCTAAAGGGTTAACAAAAGGACCTTTATGAAGCCAACTGTAGATCCATCTTAAATTGCTAGCATTGTGTTTTAGATTAACTTACTAATCATATGAAGTAAACTATAGATAGGAAACTAACACTGTAGGGAATGTGGAAGAGGAGAGATTAGTAGGAAATAGCCCATCTTTGTTAGAGGCCTTGGAAGGCATGTAGGAGAACAAAGCGTCTGGCACTTTGTTGATATGAGGATAGCCAAGGATGGGGAGCCGGTTGGTGCCAGCTCTGTTGTTCTGACAGTGGAATAAGGGGGGTAGAAGCTGGAGTTCATCAAAAGTACAAGGTGAAGAAGAGGAGTGGATGAAGTAAATGACCCCTGAAGACCACTGAGTCAAATCACTGAGCATGCGCAGTCAGGCGGGACTTATGGAAATGACCTCTTGAAATTAATTTTAATACGAAGCAGGGACAGGTTATGCCTATGTATAGGCGTATTAGGAAACTTCATGTATATGTAACACTGCCACATATAAGCACGGCAAGCTGCTGTGTTGCGGTGCGCACGACTTTGGTGGGACTAGCCCCTGTGCTGCCCAGTGCTGAATAAACATACCTACTTTACAATCTTACAGATTGTGGAGTCTGTTTTCCGCATGTCACATAGGCTCCTTTCTTTTTTCAGCCTCTCCTTGCCTCTTCTGCACTACATGCGCAGGGCTCTGGAAAGCCAAGCACGCTCCCTTCCATTCCAGAAGACAGAAACCACCCGCTGCCCAGGACTCCACCTGACTCGGGAGTCAGCCCATGGCTGTTATACGTACATACCTTGCACTTCTTCATCACTGTCTTCCTTAGACATGGGTTTTTCATTACATTTTATCCATCACTGATACCATTTATTACAGACACACTATAAACAATTATATACATTTTCTTCTGTCAGAAAACAGTGCTGCCTTTTTCCTTACTGCTTTCCCTTTGTCCTGCGGCGTTTCCATGTTATTCCACTCACGCTCTTGCATTTGTGCTGAACATTTATAACAACCAGTATAAGCTCAAACAGAAAAGTCATCTTTTCCCTGAATGATGAGACACAGAAAAACTCCTTTCTGCATACCAAGTTGATCACACAAACACATTATTTACAAGCACTACTGGTTTGTGCCTGAGTAGCACTTTGTATTTTAAAGTTAGGAACTCAGTTTAAAAAAAAAAAATCATTATCTTCATCTTGCTGCATTGCATCAGTAATTTACAGACAACAAAAATTCAAACACACACCCAAGACTAAAATTTTTCTCACTATGACAGCTTTTAAACTCAATCACTTCAGGCTGTATTTCCCCTTCT